GAACCTGTCCGTGGGGCCCCCGCCAGAGGGGGGCCCGCCGCTGGCTGTTTTTCTCCAGGGAAACCCATTGTTGTCGTTTTTGGCCAGTGACTCCTTACGGGTTCCTTCCCTAAGCGCAGAGGATGAACAAGGGGACCTGTATTCTTGGGCTGCAGCCACAGCAGCTACGGCAGGTGCTGTTTGCTGCTGGTGCGCTGCTGCGACTGGTCCTGTTGGCGTTTGGAGAGTGGCAAGACTCTCACTGTAAGCGGGCATCAGTGAAACAAAGTATCATCCGTTCCGCTTAAACATAGTGGCTTTCGTGAGTCTGCATCATTTACGGTTTAAGGTTGAGGGTTTGGGTTTTAAGGTGTGTTTTTCCAGTGGCTGTGAAATTTACTGACATCGATTACAAGGTGTACACCGATGCTGCTGAGCGCGTCTTAAAGGGAGGATCGCCGTATGAGCGGCATACCTACAGATATTCCCCTCTGGTGTACGTACACCTTAGATTCGCAACAGCAGTTTGCATCAGTAGCCGTAGCAGTCTCAGCCGCCGCAGGAGCAGATTTAGCCGCAGCAGGAGCCTCAGCCACAGCTGCAGCACCAGTGCGTTTGTAATCTGTTTGGTTTGTTGCAGGGCATACTTTTGCCTGCCCAACTTACTGGGCTGTCCAATTTTCGGGAAGCTGTTGTTCTGTTGCGTTGATATGGGGGTAGCTCTGCTCATTGAGGTGAGGCCATGCCGCACAAATAGGCCTTTCCATTGAGTGCGTTGTATGGGGCTTAAGGTGTAGGGTCTGAGATAGGGGTATACGNCACAAATAGGCCTTTCCATTGAGTGCGTTGTATGGGGCTTAAGGTGTAGGGTCTGAGATAGGGGTATACGCTGATAGAGGGAGTGGATTTCGTGTGCTGAAGTCTGGCGTGCGTCGACGGATCATGGTTTTGGATGAAGGATCAACAGACTCAGGTTCAAGGTTGAGAGCAAATATATAAGGTGACTTTGTGTTGTATTTTAACTGCAGCAAGGACTCTGGAAGATATACCTGCAACGCCAGCAGCAGAAGCAAGATCAATCGTTCTCTACGGGTCAATGCGAGCGCACAGGAGGGGCCGCAAGCTCCAACGCCGCTTACCCTTTGCATACGTTTTTGCTGCCTTGCTGTTGCTGGCTATTCCACCCGGTTGTGGCTACCGTCAGCGCACGCGGGAACGCCGACTCTGTGCCGTGTCTCCTCGTATTGCTTACAGTGACTGCTGTTAGAGCCCAAAGGCTGTTTCTCTCTGCAGTCCTGTGAGCGTTTACTGCTGTTGCTTGCCTGCTACTACTGGTGTTGCTGCTGCGCCCGTTTCAGTTTGTGCTGCTGGCACTCGCCGTGGCCACCCCTGCTGCCGTTGCTTCTGCCGCTGATGGCGTTGCTGTTCGGGTGGGGGAGGGGTGGTGGGGAACGTGCGACACGTGACTCTGTGTGTTGTATGCGTTTGTCTGTTGCTGTCCCCTTAGCTACGGGCTTGCAGTGCACCTCAAGGTCTACCCTGTCATCTACGGGGTGCCCATTCTCCTTTACATGCAGCCGGGGGCGCTGGTGAGGCTGCAGCTGCTGACGCGGCTTTTGGTGTTGTTGCTGCTACGCTTGCGGGGGGGGTAACAGCGTGGTTTGGGGCGATAGGACTGGCTTTAGGCGTGCAGATAGGCTGTTACTGTCGCAGTTGCTGCTGTCGTTTTACAGCCTGACAACTTGACGACGCTACCACGACGACCGACGGGTTTGTGGCAGCAGTTGCTGTGGGTTGTGGTTAAAGCTCCTGTTGCCGCGCTGCTGCTGCCGTTTCGAGTGTGCTGGTTCTTACTGTGGAGGATGGGGCGAAGGCAGTGGGCCTTCGGTCTCCTCTCCGTTGCAACTTGCTTCGCCGTGGGCTGTCTCTTCTACTACATGTGAGTCCCCGCTGTGTACTTACACGTGAATAAATGCGCGTCAGCCTTTTTTGTGGGGTGGCACAGGTCGCCGCATTCGCCGCTCTCAGTTTTTGCTAGCTGCATCTACTCCTGCGGCAGATGGATGCCCAGAAGGGGCCTTTGCAGCGTTCTCAGGCGCTGCGTTCCACTGCCGTCACTTTCCATCTTTGTTGGCTGGCAGTTTTTATTTGCGCCAAAAGAAAGGAAACATGCCATTGCCGCTGACAAGCAGTCCCTGGAGCCTGTCTCGTCTCCACAGGGGCTGCAGCAGCAGCAGCAACAGCGGCAGTTGCTGTAGTTGCTGCGCTGTGGCGTCTCAGCTGTGGCGGCTACAAGTATATTGGATGTGCGTTTTGCCGGTTTTAACGCTTCTTTATGGGGAAGGGTTATGGGTCGCTTCCAGATGCCTGTACATACTGACGCTGCGGCGCGCTCCGCTGCTGCAGGTACGGGTTCCCGTTTGTCTTCGAGTCTTACCTTTATCATGCCACCCGCAGCGATCACCGGCACAACATGTCTCCCTACTTTTATCTGCTGTACCTGGACTCTGTGGCGCCGGTGAAGGTGAGCAGCACATGCTGAAGATCGCCCCCCTGCAACAACACAGACCATTCTGAATGTACCGGCAGCTCTCCTGTCTTGTGGCTGTTGCTGTTGAAAATGCCCCGTTAACAATACTGATTGAGGACGCCTGAGGGTACTAGGGCTTTGTGCGGTTGTATGCAGGCGCCAGTATCGATATTTTGCTGCCTTTTCTTTCTCGTATATTTAGTAGTTGTCCTCATTCTTATGTTAGTCGTTCTCGATGATTTCTTCTGTCTTGTTTGCTTGTCATTTCCCTACGCTGTGCTTGCCCCTCCATCACTACTGTCCTGCTTTTGTATAGTTCTACCTTCAGACTGAATGAGTTTCCGGTTTCTCAAGGATCCATATTTAGCGTTGAATTGCAGAAACCGCAGCAGCTTCAACAATTGCAATAACTGAAGCAGCACCAGCAGCACCAGAAAAAGCAGCAGCAACAACAGCAGCAGGGGCTTTGTGCGTATCTTGGTGTTCTTTCCTTCCTTAGGGTCTGTCAGTGACGCTGTTGTTCCCTCAGTTGCTATGCGCCCTCCTCCTCGGCTGTTTTTTTGCGACGTCTAACCTGGAGGCCGGTTTATTCCTGGAGGTGATTCATATAAGACCTTCTTTGTCTATGCATTTGACTTAACTGTATATGCATGCAACCTGTTTCATACACGGACCTTCATATATATTAGGCTGCATTGGACGGCGTTTCATTTCATTTAGGTGCGCTGTCCCATGGTGCCCCCTGCAGCAGCCTTGACTGGCCTAGCGAACTCTCCCCCTACTGTTCTTTTGCCGCCTGCTGTACAGGCAACTCTGTGCAGTAATGTAGTGCAGCAGCCCCGTGTAGCTACAGCAGCAGCTGCAGCACAGCATGTCTGCAAAATTTAGAGGCCCGCAGTGGTCCTGGACCTGAAATGGGGGAGAATGTAACCAGTGTCTTTCTTTCTTCAGCCTTAAGACCCTTAAGGCTCTAGAATTGAGGGTCGATGTGGGAATGTGCTGCTGCTGCACAGACTGTGGCCTTCGTGGCGCTCAACAAAGTTTGTACTACTCAAGTATGCGAAATTCCCCCCATATACATCTGGAACATCTTTTCCCCTTCATATTTGCTCCTGGAAATGGGAACCGCCCACACGCCAGTTAGGTGGGACGGGCGGATGGTTTCCTTTTTCTGATGCCGTGAAACTCCCTGGGCTTGAGGATTTAGGATTGTTTGGGTGGTGTGTGTGCGCTCAGTATTTTCTGTGGTGGCTCTGTCTGCTTCCNAAGGACCCCACGCCGTTTGCTTTTTCAGTTCCTCTTCTGATTTGCAGCTGCATTTGTGCAGTAGAGCCATGTGCAGGTGCAAGCGTACAGCGTTAACTGGGGCATTGCCTGGAGCGGTAGCATTGGAGGGGACTCTCGGAAGCAGCTTGGCGCTGTAGTTATCAAAGAGTTGTGTCCATTTTGTTGCGTGTGCAGAACACTCTACTACAGACGGGGCTGGCGATGGCGGTGTTTCAGGTGACCTGTTTGTTTTGGCTATTTTATGGATATGAACTGGAGTTCGAGGGAAAACCTGTTTTCCTGGAGGTATGCAGAAGATCTCTGCGGGCTTTCGGGGCCTGGATTGAACCGAAAGTGAAGGGGTACTGCTGAGACGGATATGCACACCAGCGCCGCAGTGCCTATCTTTGGGGGATAGAGGGGAAAATTTGGCTGTGCCAGCGCTTTAGGCAATTTCGTCTCGTTCGCCTCTGGCGTTCGTCTGAAGTGCTTGGACTATATATGTGTGTCCTTGCTTCGTTGTTTGCCGTTTGTTTTTGTCGCATGTCTTCTTTGCATCTCTGACGTGACAGCAGGTGTTCCATTTCTCTGTGTATTCAGCTTGCTTTGGCCTCCGCGGTGTTCGCCAGCAGCCAGATGGGCCTTGTTGTGTTCTTCGCGCACAAAATTCGGTCAAAAAATAAGATGCAAAGGGCCACAGATGCCGCCTCCGCGTCTTCAGCGGCTGCTGTGCTCGAGAGGAAAAGAGTTTGATCAATGAGGCTCCTTCTTTCTTTCGTTGAGCTGGTGTAGCCTTGCGCAGCTTCTTATCCATTTTCCGTCCCCTCTCACTTGTCCCCTGTCCCTTCTTGCTTGTTCCTTCGATTTGTCCTTTTTCATCTCTTTTTTCTCGTTTCCCCTGGGGCTTCGGTAGATACCCTGCCACAGCAGAGCATTGCATCCACCTGCAGACGCCCTTCCGGTATACAAGAGATGATGGGCAAAGGGTTAGGGACTGCTGGCACGCTGCGGAGGGACAGCTGAAATCTTGAGGGGTTTTGACTATTCGCATCTCCACGGGTTTGGTGCAACACCTTAAATACCTTTCACAAACTGTTTCAAGGAAGCAAGGGATGTGGAGCAGCATCAAAGACAGGCCATTCGGCCTGGACACGCGACACTGACGTTAAGACAGCAGGCAACTAATCAAAAACGGCGGTCGACAAGATATAGACACGGC